AAGCAAGTATTGTGTGATTTCCCTTATACGAGGTGCCTAGAGTAATCAAATTCAGAGACAGATAGTATAATGGTGATCACCACGGGATGGGGGAGGGGGAAATGGAGAATCTGTGGATATTGGGTAGAGTTCCAGTTGAGTGAAATGACAAGAGTTTAGGAGGTGGATGGTGGTGACAATCATACAACACAATGAATGTAATACCCCTGAACTGTATACCCCAAAATTGTTGAGATTGTTAATGTTATGATATATGATCTTCTTAAAATAATGAGAAGAATCACAGGATGAGATGCTTTCTGGGTTCTCTGCCTGAAACGTGACTCATTCCTTAAACTGATTGTTGCCTTGCAAAAGTGAACCTCAGATGATTTCGCCTTTTGCTCAGTTCTTGGCTAACATGCTTGTATCCTTTCTCTGTCTATTGCAATGATGTCAACCTGAAGGTCTTTGTTCAATATGCTTAATTAATAGTAGGTTTATTACTGTGAGGGAGAGTCACAGGTGTGTTGCTGGCTGTGGGTTTGCTCATGTTTTCAGCGTGATTCAGTCTTGCTGGCTGCTAAACCAACCCACTTAATTAATTAATTTCATAAATTTTAATTTACCTTTAATTTACATTAATTAATTGATTATCTTATTAATTAATTTAAAATTTACATCCAAGTTAGTTACCATATGGTGCAACAATGATTTCAGGAGTAGATTCCTTAGTGCCCCTTACCCATCCCCCTCACAACCTCTCCAGCAACCCTCTTTGGTCTCAGTATTTAAGAGTCTCTTATGTTTTGTCCCCCTCCTTGTACTTATATTATTTTTGCTTTCCTTCCCTTATGCTCATCTGGTTGATATCTTAAATTTCTCATATGAGTGAAGTCATATGATATTTGTCTTCCTCTGACTTATTTCACTTAGCATAACATCCTCTAGTTCCATCCGCGTAGTTGCAAATGGCAAGATTTCATTCTTTTAATGGCTGAGTACATATGTATGTATGTCCATATACATGTACATACATACATATGTACATATACACACCACATCTTCTTTATCCACCCATCTATAAATGGACATTTGGGCTCTTTCCATACTTTGGCTATTGTTGATAGCACTGCTATAAACATTGGGGTGCATGTGCCCCTTTGAAACAGCACACCTGTATCCCTTGGATAAATACCTAGTAGTGCAATTTCTGGGCCGTAGGATAGTTCTATTTTTAATTTTTTGATGAATCTCCATACTGTTTTCCAGAGTGGCTGCACCAGTTTGCGTTCCCAGCAGCAATGAAAAAGAGATCCTCTTCCTCCACATCCTCACCAACATCTGTTGTTGCCTGAGTTGTTAACGTTACCAATTCTGATTGGTGTGTGGTGGTATCTCGTTGGTATTTTGATTTGTATTTCCCTGATGAGGAGTGATGTTGATCATCTTTTCATGTGTCAGTTAGCCATCTGGATGTCTTCTTTGGAGAAGTGTATATTCATGTCTTTTGCCCATTTCTTCACTGGATTATTTGTTCTTTGGATATAGAGTTTGATAAGTTCTCTATAGATTTTGGATACTAACCCTTTATATGATATGTCATTTGCAAATATCTTCTCCCATTCCATTGGTTGCCTTTTAGTTTTGTTGATTGTTTCTTCACTGTGCAGAAGCTTTTATTTTGATGAGGTCCCAATAGTTCATTTTTGCTTTTGTTTCCCTTGTCTCTGGGGATTTGTTGAGTAAGAATTTGCCTCAGCTGAGGTCAAAGAGGTTTTTGCCTGCTTTCTCCTAGAGGATTTTGATGACTTCCTGTCTTATGTTCAGATCTTTCATCCATTTTGAGTTCATTTTTATGTATGGTTTAAGAAAGTGGTCCAGGTTCATTTTTCTGCATGTCGCAGTCCATGTTTTCCCAACACCATTTGCTGAAGAGACTGTCTTTATTCTATTGGATATTCTTTCCTGCTTTGTTAAAGATTAGTTGGCCATATATTTGTGGGTCCATTTTTGGGTTCTCTGTTCTGTTACATTCATCTGAATGTCTGTTTTTGTGCCAGTACCATAGTGTCTTGGTGATCACAGCTTTGTAATACAGCTTGAAGTCCGAGATTGTGATGTCTCCAGGTTTGGTTTTCTTTTTCAAGATTATTTGGCTATTCGGGGTCTTTTCTGGCTCCACAGAAATTTTAGGATTGTTTGTTTGAGCTCTGTGAAGGAGGTTGGTGTTATCTTTACAGGGATTTCAAGATATGCTTTTATTGCATCATATTATTGTAGGAGTTATACTCTGGTCCATGTTTTCAGTCTGAGGATATTGAAGCATTCTTACATTATTGAAAATAATTTTAAACTATTGAAAGCCTTTGTCTTTCTGTGTCACATGGAAAGTTGATATTCTCCTACACTGTGGTGGCCTATAGTCTATTCTTCCATCTCATTATTATTGTTATTATTATGGTTCTCATCATAGACTATTATCATTGTTATGGTTAATCACCATGGTCACAATTATTACTGTGATTATGATTTATTATTGTTACTGCTGCTGTTAGAAAATGCTGAGTCGACTTGTTCTATCCAAGAAGGGTGTCTGGTTTACTGAAGAAGATGATGGAGATTTCCCAAAAATACATACAAATGGACAGATGCTTCCAGGTCATTTCTGGTGCCCTTTATAGATATAAGCATCCACAAAATTTCCAAGTTTCCTTCCAGGGTCCTTGAGTGGACATTTTGACAGTGGAAGCTTGGCGAGGGCATCTTGGCCTTCCTGAGCCTCTGAGAAACATTGTGAGTCACTTCTGGTATCAGCAACCACTTGTGCCTGCCTGCAAGACCCAGGGAGGGCATCCATGGCCCGCCAGCCTCAATGAAAATTTCCCTAAGACCCGTAGGGAGCCAGGAATAGATGGAACAAGTATGGGAGGCTAGAGAGGAGGTCCCCACCCTCTGAAGCCTTTGCAGTATTTCTAGGTATGCCCAGCACCAGGGAACTGCCATTCCTGCCCTCTTGTATAAGCCCATACTGGACTGGAAGCAATGTGCACAGCAAAGAGGAACGGATTTGATGCCAACCAACAGCTCCAGGATAAAGAACACAATCTCTTAAACCCTGACCTGAAAGTGATAGGGAAGAGCAGATGGTAAAAGGGGCAACAGGGAAATGAGGGCTGAGAAAGTGCTACAGCCTTAATGTTAAGCATAGGAGAGGGCTTCAGAGGCCGAGGGGTGGGGTAATGTCCCTGCAACAGACTTTCAAGGAGATCTATCTCCCTGGAAGACAGACAGACAGACACACACACACACACACACACGAACTAATATTAAGAGTGTCCCTAAATGACAGGTGGTTTTCCAGATTATTTTCATATTTTATCACTTTTTCCTCACTAGTACACTATTTACAGAAAAAATGATATGACTCCAGGTTTGCTTTTAAGAATCTAGGTTCCTCCCCCCACCTACTCACTCACTGACTTGAGTTTGGAAAGTTCTACAGCACTGTTAACTGTTGGCAGTTTTTGAAACTATCTTAAGAACACATAGAGTTTCATTTTATTTTCTCTAAATTGAGGGGGGAGGGTGTTTTAAGTAAATAAGGAAATATATGAAGCATTTGTTCATTACTTTAAAAATGTTTCTAATAAATTATTTTAAATCCACTGCTGGCTTCCTTTTCGTTACTTCAATTATTACTTGATCCATACATCTGTAAGGAAAATGGCTTATATATTTTCCTGCAGCACCATCCGATGTTTCAGAGCCATTTTAGAGTTTCTCCCACTTTTCACAAGTAAGCGATGACATGAGTGAAGGGTGATGGCTTTTATTCTAGGAAGACTGATCTACACTTATTTATTTATTTATTTATTTATTTATTTATTTATTTATTTATATAGTGTGTGTGTGTGTGTGTGTACGGGGAAAGGGAAAGAAGGAGAGAGAGAGAGAATCTTAGGCAGACACCATGCTTAGTGCAGAGCTCAATGCAGGGCTCAATCCCACAAACTGTGAGATTATGACCTGAGCCGAAATCAAGATTAGATGCTTAACTGAGCCACCCAGGAGCCCCAATCTACACATATTTTTTAAACCCAAATTTCCTTGTGACATTTTTTATTTTTTACTTTTTTATTTTAAGTTTTTATTTTAATCTCAGTTAACATAGGGTAGTATCAGGTGTACAATGTAGTGATTCAACACTTCCATACACCACCTGTGCTCATCACAGCACGTGCACTCCCGAATTCCCATCATCTCTTTAACCCATCCCTGAACCCCCGTGACATTTTTTAAAATGACATTTTCTGGGGCACCTGGGTGGCTCAGTTGATTAAGCGTCCGGCTTTGGCTCAGGGCATGATCTCCTGGTTAGTGAGTTTGAGCCCTGCATCTGGGTCTGTGCTGACGGCACGGAGTCTGCTTCCAATTTTCTGTCTTCCTCTCTCCCTGACCCTTTCCTGCTCACATTCTCTCTCTCTCTCTCTCTCTCAAAAATAAAAACTTCTGCTTTGGAGCATCCCCACATGCCTACACATGTCTTGCCTGAGTCTCAGGATCACCACAACCAAAAACATTCCTGTCTAAATCCCAATGGGCCCCTGTTGAGGTGTCAGGAAAGAGGAGGGTCGCAGAGTAGGTAGGAGCCACCCCTGCTCTCTGGGACGCCACTACACCCTAGTATCCAATTCTTACCCTGCATACTTCAGAAGAATGTATGCATGATCTCACTGCTACAGGGGAGTGGTTGTTTCTTAGCGACTCAGTTGACAGTGTGAAGAAATTTATGTGTAACCTAACTTGTGTGTGCACATGGGAGTATTATTTACGCATCCACTGATAAATACATAGACAGAGATGCATTTCGGGAAGAACAGCACCCATTTCTATTAAGCAAGACATAGCCTAACAGTTCATACCACCTGTAATCCACTAAATATGGGCCATCCTAACCATCTCACTCGCTTGGCTCTAGACCCTCACTCCCAAGCGAGGGCACACGGTAAGAGCCTCACCAGGACACATGAGGTCTGAGCTTCCTGCGCTGCACCCTGAAGACCGGCAGGGGGCGCGCCAACCTGCCGCCTTTGGCCAACGTGGAACGCATGCGCATCGCGCCCCTTGCCGTCGACGCTGCGTCCGCACGAGAGCCCGGAGACGCGTTCTCTCACGCGTTCTCTCGGGGGCGACGGAGGAGGCGTCACTGACGACGCGGGCCCCAGGTCGGCTGTGAGTAACGTCCCTGTGCTGCCGCACTGCTGGGAGGGGGCCGCTGTGGGGACTTTCTCTTAAATAGCCAGAAAGAAGCTCGCTGTTGCCCGCACCGCCTCGCGTGCCTTTCCCTTCCCTTTCTTGTGTAGGGTTTCCCCAGGACGTGTTTTACGGGAGTGCCCGGTCATCGAGGGCCACTGGGGGTGAAATCATAGCATGCCGTGGGCAGTTGTAGAGATTTGGGGCTGTTTCGCGGGATCGGGGGCCTCCTGGTCCGGCTTCGGGGAGGCGGGAACCGCGTGGCGGTGGAGAGAGGACGGAACAAAAGTTCGGGGTGTTCGGCCGAGGCAGGGGCTCGGGAAGGGCCTGGGGCGGACACATCCGGTCGCGGGCGGAAGGGGCGCTGCGTGGGCGCTGCGCGGCCTTGGTTCGCGCCGGGCGGTTTGTCATAGAGAGTGAAAGTGTCATAGTTGGAAAAATACGAAGACTAGAGAGGTAGGTGTGTGAAAACGCACGGCTGTATTTTCAGTGTCAGGATTTTAGATTTTATTTACACCCAGATCAGACTTGATTATAATTGGACTTTACGGGCTCTCAAGGAAGTTGCCGTGTCTGCGTTTTAAAATACCCCTCCTCGGCTTGTCCCATTTCCTGGTTGACGCATTTCGACGGCGCACGTTTTCTCATGACCCGGCGACAGCCGTAGATCATTGTAAGTAAGCGTCGGGTCACTGAAACATCTTTTGTAGGACCTCACTGACAGGTGGATGTGAAATAGGTCCAAGACGCTTGTGAATTTATACAGTATTTATAAAAAGACAAGGAAGGAAAAGAACGGATTTTGAAGCGCAAAGTTGCCCTCAGAAGGGAAATAGGACGTCCACCATCCCTTCAGAATTGTTTATTCTACCTTATTGCAGAGATACGCTGCGACCTCTGAATTCTAAATTTCATTAAAAAAAAAAATCTCTTGAAACACACTGTGCTTCTACTCCCATCACTTCTAAATTGTGGCCCAGTTATTCCGAGAGGTCCTAGTATTTTAAGAATATTCTGTAGTATTGATTTACAGCCCTTACGACGTGGCTAAATATCCTCAGACAGATGCAAGTTGGGGTGGCGTTCTCTTCCTTTGTATTAACCTAGGTAACATAGGAAGGCGTTAAAAGAATAAAGTACGCACGCTAACGAACCCCCAGAATGTTCAGATTCTTGAATATATCCAGAGGTGTGAGAATAAACGTGTCTTGTACCCGCCCCCCCATTTTAATTTCGGAAATGTGCCCAGTGTGTTGCTCAGTGTTTTTAAACGAGCTCAAATCAGGCAGCAGGAGGCCGGCCGTCAGCTCAGAGGCGCTCTGTAAAGGCGGCGATGCTGTACTTGTACAAGTGCGTCTTACCTGTGTAGCCCCACGTGGGGTGGCGCTCGGCTCGGAAGCTTCCTGAACTAGCTGCGTGTCACGACAGTGTCGGATCGGCCGTGCAGCCCCCGAGGTCAGGGCGTGCGGTGTCAGAGGCAGTCTCGACCGGTCTGCAGTCTAGCTTTTGAGGTGAAAAGGGGGCGTTCCAGGCTCAAACATGTGGCCTCTTCTGACTAGTGAGGGGAAAACAAGGATTCACTCTGGGTTTAGGAATTTAACCAAGGACAAAGTAGAGATGAGCCAAGACTAGAAGTCATTTTTTGCCTTCCTCTCAGATTTCTGTTTTTACTTAATAGAGTAACAGTATATTAATTTCACGTATAGAACATAATTTGGTATTTGTATATATTGCAAAATGATCACAGGGTTACAGATTTTTTTTCTTCTTAAAATTTTTTTTAAAAACTTAGTTTTTTGAGAGATATAGACACAGTGTGAGCAGGGGAGAGACTGAAAGGGGGGTAGACACAGAACCTGAAGCAGCTCCAGGCTCTGAGCTGTCAGCACACAGCCCAATGAGAGGCTCGAACATGGAGCCATGAGATCAGGGCTTGAACTGAAGTCGGACACTTAACTGACTGAGATACCCAGGCGCCCCCAGATGTTTTTTCTTATAATGAGAACTTTTAAGATCTGTTCTTAACAACTTCCAAGTACGTAATACATTATTAACTGTAGTCACCATGGTGTATATTTCATCCCTATTCCTTACTTATTTCATGTCTGGAAGTCTGTGCCTTTGACAATCTTCACCCGTTTTGCCCTTCCTCACCCCTGCCTCTAGCCACCACCAATCTGTTCTTTGTGACTTTGGGTTTGTTTTTTGTTTCAGGTGTTTTGTTTTGTTTGTTTTTTAGATTCCACATATAAGTGAGGTCTGCCTTTCTTTGTCTGACTTACTTCACTTAGTATAATGCCTGTAAGGTTCATCTACATTGTCCCAGATGGAAAGATTTCCTTTTTTTAATGGCTGAATAGTATTCCATTGTGTGTACCTCTGCTGCATTTTCTTTACCCATTCACTCCTGGGTAGACACTAGTTTGCTTCAATGGCTTGGCTGTTGTAAATAATGCTGCAGTGAACATGAGGGTGCATATATCTTTTTGAGTTAGTATTTTTGTTTCCTTCATGTAAAATACTCAGAAGTGGAATTGCCAGGTTGAAGCCTGCAGCCCCAGAATTATTTTGGTAGGCTAAACCCACATGTAAGTGCTGATCGGCTTGCTGTAAATCTTGCCTGAAGTGACTGCCAGAACAGGCCCGAACCCGCAATGTAGTGAGGCCTTTGAATGCCTGCAGAACTCAGGTAGGGTTTAGGAATTGTTCAGTTTTTCATAACTGTATCTAAATTATTTAATTAATTAGAGGAGAATTCTTTTTGTTAAACTAGTTTTTCCTTGGTGATATTTATCTCAGTTAACACCCAAGGTAAACAAGCTCTCTGCCTTGCATTGCAAATCTGATGAAGTTAACAACTATGTCAGAATGAGTCCAACAGTAACTATATATCTATTTCTAAAGTAAGTGAAGTTCTGAGTTTGGGTCTGCGGTGATGGTGTGCTCAGTCACCACCCAGTATCCCAGGTTTTCTGTCTCCTTAGGTTCTGGAAATACCGAAGAAAAATCTCCCCCATCAGATCCAACCTCTTTTATTTTACCATAATTATTAATGATGAATATGATTGTTTATAATGACAAGGGCCATTTGTAGTACCACATCTGAGGGTAGACTAGGTGATGGGGACATGGAATTTCTGTTTATTCATAATTAACAAATCATAGTCAAAGAGAACCTTGCCTTAAAATGCTGTAGATGATTTTTCTGCAGGTAGTCCTGGCAGTGAAGAAAGGAGCAAATAAATAAATAAATGCATAGTAAGAAGTTACATGAGTAACTTGAAGGAAACAAAGTAAGGTTCTATTCAAGACAACAAGGTAAGAAGGAACCACTTATTTAGGAAGTAGTTTAAAGAAGGGATGTCTGAAGAAATGGCCTTTAATCTCAGATGGAAACCTAGTGAGTGTGAAGTGGCCATATGTATGTAGATATTGGGGTAGAAATGAAAGATGATAGTGCTCAGTGGAGAGATGACAGCAGGCTTAATTGTGTGGTTCTGAAAAGTGGTGTTGTGCCCGATTCGTGAGTTCCCAGAGACCTCCAAGGAGCCGGCACCGATGCAAGTACAAAAGGGTCTTTTTTTTAAAATATTTTTATTTATTTCTAGGAGAGAGAGAGACAGCGTGAGCAGGGGAGGGTCAGAGAGAGAGGGAGTCACAGACTGAAACAGGCTCCAGGGTCTGAGCTGGCAGTCAGCACAGAGCCAGAAGCGGGGCTCGAACCCACAAACAGCGAGATCATGACCTAAGAGAAAGTCAGACGCTTAACCGACTAAGCCACCCAGGTGCCCCTAAAAGGGTCTTTATTACAAGCTCGAGCAGGGGCTCACCAGCCTACCGGTGTCATGGCAGCAAGGTGAAGCGAAGAACAATAGTGAATAGGGATTTTAAGGAGTAAGGGATGGGGGTGTTACAGTACATGTAGCATCATCACATTAGCACCAATTACAATTGTACAGCAGCACCCCTGGTAACAGCTTTGACCATTCAGTATCTGTGAGGTGTTCATTACTTTTGGTGGGACCCAATCATGACTTTTGAGAATCCTTTGAAAATGACCAATTATGAGGTGAGTTCAAAGGGCCCACGTGGGGTTCAGGCAAGTGGTGAGAAATTGGCTGGTTTGTATCTGCAGGTCCCAGCCTTGACTCAGACCATAGGAATGTCTTTTGATTAGCTGACCTGAGGGCGGTCCGAGGATGGCTTTAGCCTTGAACAGTGTGAGGCTTTTCCTGGGACTGGGACTGGGGCTACGTGCAGCCGGAGGTTGCTCTTAATGGAGGCCTTAATTTTTGGCTCTTCAGTGTCAGAGATGAATCTTTGGATATCCGGTGGATTCGTTATCTGACTTGGAAGACTAGAAGACAAAAAATTTTTATTGTGGAAGAGTTAATGGCTTCATTTTGAAATATATTTCCTTTTACGTGCCTATAGTACATGTAGGTGGGGACTACAGCACAGCAGTGGAGTCTAGGTATGTTTTTAGTTTTGAGTTTAGAGATGACCGTGGAAGAAATTGAAGCAAGTGAAAGAGTGTTGTGAGATTTCCATGACAGTATATTGTAAGGGGAGAGAAAAGGGGTAGAATCGAACCTGGAGATACTTCAGCACTTTTGTTGTTGAAGGTGCACCTTGCAGAGGACTTCTGGAAGGAGTGCTTAGTTTGTTTCAAAGGCAGTTAGGAATGTGAATTGTCAGAAAAGCCTAGAAAAGAAAGTTCCCAAACAGAGGTCATGTGCCAGTATTGTTTTGATTCCAAATAAAAGGCAGAGAAACACTCACTGGATTTAATTAAGGGGGAATAACTGATTTTAACAAGATTTATTAACTTGGAAATCAGAACTAATTTTTGTTAATCACAGTGAGGGAATGTGAAGAAATTGTAACTAAATATGTACTGTATCTTCAGGTTCATTTTGAAGAGAAAAGGTCATGTGTCAGCAGCTAGGTATAAATTGGTCGTTTTTCTTTGATGAATGGAGAGACTAAATGAGTTTAAGGAGATAGATGGAAAAATGATGAAGAGGTTACTGGTAAAAGACATTTATTTGGTTTATAATGAAGAACATAAAATATTCGAGGAAGTAGGAAAGAATGGGAATTGGAGAAGTTGGATTTAATTAGGAATAGAGGTGACTTCTCAGTTTTTGCAAGAGTGGAAGTACTGATGGGTTGGAAATCAGGAAATAATTGTAGGTTTCTTGCCAGTGAGGTGAAATATTTCTTCATATTATTTGGTTCATCTCTGCGGTAGGAAGAGATTTTTCATTTTGGAAAACTAAGGGAAAAGATGAGATTTTTGTGAGAATAGAAAAGCACTATTAATGGGTACTATTAACACATGACTCAAGCATGGCAGGGGAGCTGTTAAGCCAAAGTAAGAAGCCAGATATTTAGAAAAAGCCGTTGGGAGACTGTGACACTGTATTTAGAGTGGCTCAGTCCCTCATTCTGAGCTGTGACGGATGCTGCCATGAGAGCGTTAGATACTGGAGTCCTCTGCAGTTGGAGTTTCGAGTAGTAGATGTTGGGAAGAAGTGAAGGGCATTAGAATTGTTGGTCTTGGTGTGTGTATGTTGGAATGAGAAGTGTATGTTACACTGATCAATACAAATTAGAGGTGGAGGCTAATTTTGGAAATGGGGGTCACTCAGCTGGAGGTTCCCATGTAGGAGATCCTGGGAGAAATTATGTGAGCAGGCTGAGAGGAAGAGGTTTTGAGAGAGGAGTCTCTGGTCATGGATCTGACTGGTGACATATGTGGGTAAAAATTTCCACTATTCTTCAAGATGAAATTCTTCAGTTCTCATCCAGAGATAGTTAATTTTAAATTCTAGTTGTCAATTTTTAGCCATGTAGTTTTGTCCTGTAAATAAAGTTTTATGAATCTAGTGTACATAACTCATTAAATGTGTAAGTAATCTGTAAAGGCAGAGTTATTGCTGAGTATTAAGTTCAGTGTATGTAAGCAGTTACATGTAAAGTCCACTCACGGAGTCTCAGTTAATACCAGCAGTTGTTTTTTTTTTTTTTTCTTTCCAGGTCCTCAGGGTCATTGGGTTTTAATCATATCCTTTTCTTGACATGTTATCAGCATTTGTGGATGCAGTGTATTTAGTTATAAACATTGTTTTAGGTAGTACTTTAGAGATGATAAATTCTTTTATATACTTAAATCATGAAGTACAGAGATAAACTTGTTGATAAAAATAACTAGAACTCCAGGCCCCAAGAAGTCAATAAGTTATCTCTAAAACGAAACCCTGCACTCTATATTTTATGAGCCTGTCTTCTGGTCTAATTGTGCAGCAATCTGTAGTGTGTAGCATTGTGGCATATATACTCCTGCTTCTTTGCTGTGCAAGGGGTTGTATGTGCTAGACTTGTATGATAGGAGAGTCACTGAACACTTGAGCAGGGGTTGGGTCTCTGAAGTGTTCCAGCCCCACTTTAAAGAGATCCCTTTGTTGCTTGGCCACATGTCCAAGACGATGAGTGATACAAGTGGGTTGAGGCACCAACAGCACCTTAATCCTACATGTTGAGGAGCCAAGATGACTGAGGGCACGTGTTTATTGGGAGATGATGAGGCACTCGTGAGCTGAGATGGGTGCTGGAAAACAACGCTAGTGGACCTAACCAAGAATGATAAAATATGAAATTCCAAAATGGTGTCCTTAGTTATGGATCCAAGAACCTCCATGTGACAGGAGTCAGATTCTCCTAGGATTCTGCTGCTAAGGATGTAATTAAGACCTCTCAGTATCAAGTCTAAGTAAACTAGAAACCCCTGTGCTTTTGCTGTCTCTATAATGGGGATATTAATAGTTTATTGTTGACTTTACTATTGACTTCTTATTGTTTATTCTTGGAGATAAACAAGCCCCCTTCCTTGTTTATCCTTGTTTACTCTGCAGGTACATGGAGGTGAACCAGGGGAGGGGGAGTCACTACCATGTGAAGATTTGCATTTGCAAGATGGGCATATCTAGGAGTATTGGAAAAGACAAGTCTCATGGGTTCTTTCTCTTTCCTCAGCTTTGTCGGCTTAGTTATTGGACTGTCCCTTGGTGAGAACACACAGGAAGAAAGGGCAACTGAGTTCTAGACAATGCAACCACAGGTGAGTAGAACTTTCTCTTCTTTCTCATGGATACCTGTTTTTCCAGGGGATGAGAGGATTTCCCTCCATGACTTGGATTGTCTGTGTGCCCCCATGAACTATTAGTGTCAGTCATACTTCACCAGGTCTCTGGGAGGCTTGTGGCAGCTCAGGGTTTGATCAAGAAATAACCCCCTACCCAGTATTACACTACTGTATTCCATTCCCCATCCTATTAAGGCTGTCCTTGCAGAAAAGTTGTTTCTTCTCATCCATCCCGTGACCTCAGTTGAGAAGTGACTCATTCATGAACCATGTTAGTGTCTGCAGTGGGCTTAGGTGTGCGGTGAATACAGGTGATAGAAATGAGAATGAGCAGAAGTTCACAGGCCTGTAGGGAGGCAGATGTTTCTTCAGGTGAGTTCAGCCCATCCAGGGTTTCAGATACTGCAGAGGAGGGCTCTGCAGGGTTGAGACTGGCGGAGTGTGGGAAGCTAGAGAGCAGTGAGCAATCATTTATTTATCTTTCCCAATTTTTTTTTAATTTTTTTTTAATGTTTTATTTATTTCTAGGAGAGAGCTAGAGACAGCATGAGCAGGGGAGGGTCAGAGAGAGAGGGAATCACAGACTCTGAAACAGGCTCCAGGCTCTGAGCTGGCAGTCAGCACAGAGCCCGAAGCGGGGCTCGAACCCACGAACCGCAAGATCATGACCCAAGCGAAAGTCGGACGCTTAACCGACTAAGCCACCCAGGCGCCCCTATCTTTCCCAATTTTAAAGTTACTAAAGTTTTTGTAGACTGTGTTTGAGCATTTTAATAAATTAAGCAAAGAAAAATTTTCCTTACCACTCTTGTTCCAAACAACCTGTTTCCCTCTTTGTAATTAAACTTTGTTCAAATTTGAAAACAAATTTCTGATGAATATTTTCCCAATTTGGGTTGTGCATTGAGAAGGATTGTAATAGAACTAAATGTAAAGTCCTGTAGCAAAATTTGCAGGACTAGGAAGATCAGGCTCAACTGAGAGGCTTCTGTTACCCACTGGTATTTAGACAGGGTGCTGTTACAGCGGGGAGAGGGATACGCCATCTCGGAGGTCCTGGAGGAGATCGGAAGGCAAGGCCTTCCCACAGGTGGGTCCGGGCAGGACATCCTTACGTACGTAGGGCCCCTGGGGCTTGGCTTGTGACCCGTGTGTCTTACGCCTTATCAGGAACACGTGGATTGTGTAGAGAGGGGAGAGGTCACACTCACTTTTCCAGGTTCTGCTGGACGCCGCATTCAGTCCTGTGGGAAAGTCGGGCACTGTTGTGTCCAGGTTATTTCCACTGGACCCCGTGAGATACTTGTTTGTAATGTAATGAAGTTATGTTTACAAAGTGTGAGTGTGTGTGAAAGACACATGACAAGGCAGTGTAGAGAAACGTGTGACTAGAACCCCAGACAGGGTTTGACCTCTCTGCGTGTACAGCAACCCATCCCCGGCACCATCATGCCCAGTATACTCCTTTGACAGGGAAGGCCCTGGATGCACCAAAATGTCTCCGGTGTTTTAGGGATCTGTGACCTTCAAGGATATAGCTGTAGACTTCACGCAGGAAGAGTGGGCCCTGCTGGACACGTCCCAGAGGAAGCTGTACAGAGATGTGATGCTGGAGAACATTGGTCATCTGGTGTCTGTGGGTGAGCCTGTCAGCTTTGATAAGTTTATTAAGCAAGTATCCAGCTTTCACTTCACCCCTCTGCTCGTGCCCTCCTTCAGATTCTTTCATGGTTCTTAACACTGTTTGGATATAATTTGTTTATTCTTCTCACTTACACCTGTTTTGTTACCTCAAAAGAATATAGTTTTCCTGACCCCTCTTTTGTGTCTTTCTTGCTTCTAGATCTGTAATGCCCAGGACTGTGCTGGGAATTCAATGAATATTTTAAGTGAATGAAAGCACTAAATATTACAAAAACTGTTCTCTGTATGGTCAGCTGGTAGTTAAAAATTCATTTGTGAAAATCATACCTATTACCTAATTTTTAAAATATTTATTTATTTTTGAGAGAGAGCATGCGAGCAAGCAGGGGACGGGCAGAGTGGAGGGCACAGAGGAGCCAAAGTGGGCTCTGAGCTGTCCACACAGAGCCTGATGTGGAGCTTGAACTAACAAACCATGAGATCATGAAGTGAGCTGAAATCAGACCCTTAACCAACTGATCCACCCAGGTGCCCCAATGTTTATTAACCTTTTACCTATTTGCAGAGAGAAATTAAATTGTTTCGGTGAAGCTTCTGTGTACTTAATTGGTATTTTTAAATTTATTTATTTAAATTCAAGTTACTTAACATACAGTGTGCTATTGGTTTCAGGAGTAGAACCCAGTGATTCATCACTTACATACAGTACCCAGTGCTCTTCCCAGCAAGTGCCCTCCCTAATGCCCATCACTCATGTAGCCCATCCCCGTCTCCTCCAGCAACCCTGTTTGTTCCCTGTATTTAAGAGTCTCTTATGGTTTGCCTCCTTCTCTGTTTTTATCTTATTTTTCAAAATTAAGTCTAGTGGGAACATATAATTTCTCCTTTGTTGAAAAGCACTAAAGATTCTTCACTCTGTCTTTGACCTTGGTCTTGCACATCAGCAACAAGAACATCTCCCTGTGTTGGCAAGGTGTCAGGATGTTCTTCTTGCTGTGGTGAAGGGCCTTAGCATTTTCAGTGTTCAGGGTGCTCTTCCCTGGCCTCTCCTTTGTTGCTCTCCGGTTCTTCCTTCGTGCCCTGTCCTGAAATTAAAGATCATTCACGTTTCTCTGCACAGGGTCTAAAATCGGTATGTCTTTCACTCCCCACAAACAGGGTATCAACTCTGCAAATCAGATGTGATTTCCCAGTTGCAGCAAGGAGTGGAGCTGTGGAGGGAAGGGAGAGGATTTCCCCCAGGCCTGATTCCGGGTGAGCCCCGGGCTTGTGTGAGCTTAGCACTGGGAAGATGCTGGTGCAGGGGGAGCAGAATGGGGGGTGTCAGCAACAGACATCTTGTTTCATCTGAAAACACTTCATCATTTCACTTTCCTGAAATGCCTTTCAAATCACTGACACATTCCCCCTTTTCATATTCCCCATGTAAGGGTCAGTATTTGAAACATACACAGGCCTTGCACGTTTTCAACGGTGTCCTTCCTCTAAGGCACACTAGCAGTTCATTTTGTTTACATTATTTTAGACAGGAAAAGTGGCCTTAGGAGACAAGATGTCTGCAGAAAGGACCCATCTAATTGCATGTCAATTGTAAGTTTCAAAGGGGTGAACCCTCCCTGAACATTAATGACGTGGGTGCTAACAGATTTAGAATGTTATTTGAGTCGGGTGTAAATACTGTCTCAGCAGAAAGCTTTGGGTGGTTGGAATTTAGGGGAAAAATTAAGCTGTTGCTCAAAACCACTACATGAGTTCTTCTTAAAGGACAAACACATAAACATAGCTCTTGCATCCAGTCTTTGAAACTAGTGAGATCTTTCAAATAAATCTGATAGCTCTGTAGGTGAGATGTTACGAAAAAGGAAATCTCTTTGTGTTGTAGAAAATAACACACATTGCGTATGTAACTAACACAGGGAAGATGTTAACAGGAGGTGTTCACTGCATGTTCAAAGTAGGAGTCATATGTAGAGAAAAGAATTCGTGTATGTGAGAAATTCTGTAACAGCCTCTCTCTCCTTTGAACAGCAGAGATTTCACACTAAAAAGGATACCTGTGAATATAAGGAATGTGGGGAAGTTTTCCTTGCAGATCATGGTGACTCAGTATGTGCTGAATCACATGGTGGCAGGGTGGGGGGTACAAATGTACGGAACGTGGGAAATGCTTCAGCCAGAAGCCTAAGCACCAAAGAATCATACAGGCCAGAAACCTTACAAGTATACGGAATGTGGGAGAGGGTTCCGTTGGATCACTCAGCCTTATATACACCAGAGAACTCACACTGGGGGGAAACCTTATGCGTGTGATGAATGTGGGAAACACTTCAGTCAAAGCACTGACTTCCACTCACATCAGAGAGCCCACACAGGAGAGAAACCCTATAAATGTAATGAATGTGGGAAAGGATTCCATTGGGTTTACATTAAGATGCAAGCAATTATTATGAAATTTTAATCAGTAGTATAAACACGACAAATATCGTATGGGATAAGCCGAATGTTGTCGATTAAATAGTCTAGTGGGTAGTAACTTGAATATTCAAAGAAAGTACTCTTCAGCAGAAAATGCTATATCTATAGCATGCATAGTGCAAACCACTGAACATTTCATGTGAGAATATAAACCAGTATTAGGAATTCTTTATTAATGTAAAGTGAATAATAATGATTTTATTATGTGGAAAATGAAAGGACATTAAAATATAACTTCCTGATACTCCTTTTTTTTGTTTGTTTACAAATACACAGTTTTTAAAGATTTGATAAGCACAGAGGGTTTTTAGGGCAGTGAAAATACTCTGAATGGTGTTGTCATGAAGGCTCTGTGTCATTATACATTGCCCACGTCCACGATGTACAGCACAAGAGTGGCCGTGAGGTGACTGTGGACTCTGGGGACGATGTGTCCATGTAGGGCTCTCCTTGGTGAAAAACAAAACCATACCCCTTGGGCGAATGGTGTTGATGATGAGGCGGGGGTGGGGGTGCTGTGCACGTACAGAGTCAGGCAGTAGATGGAAAATATCTATGCCTTTCTCTCAATTTTGTTGTAAACCTAAAACTGCTCTAAACAAATAATTAAAAAAAAGCATTCGCTGGAAAATGCCAGCACTTTAAGATAAACATCGCTTTCTTTGTTGGCCAAAGAATACCTCACACAACTTATATATAAATATTTCTGGGAAACTTTGAAAGCATTCCATTAAAATTTTATTGACATCAGACCAATAAATTAGTAATGTAGAATATATTAGTACTTCATAATTTGGTATTAATAAGGTATAATTACTTTTAGTAATTACTGCATAATTCAATATTAATAAGTTTAAGCACATATTATGTAAATAATGTTATCAAGATTGATACTCATATGTATATTCTTAGAGTATTTCATTGTAATTTAAACTTAATGTTTTCATTAATTACTTTATCATTAATGTTGGAATTACTACTTTATTGTTCCAGTTCACACTTCCATTTTAATATTAGCTGTTTTATCACAGTTACATCTATCAGAATCTTCTCATTGGTTTCTCTTTTGAATTTCAGACATGATTGCGGTCAGCCTGTCATTGAATCCTGCTGTTCTGAAATCTGAGGGTTCTCACTGCCTGGGTTCTGCAGGAAGAAACGTAACCTTTTCACCTCAGTCATAAGTTGATAATTTGGTTTCTAACATTTTAATTAAAATAATTTTTAAGATGTGAAAATCCTTAAGAATATTCTCTTCACTGAATGCAAATTGGTACAGACTAACTACAGTTCTTCCCATTTAATCCAGTTTTCAGAACTCTTCCATCTGCATGTGGTCACGAGTCACCAGCTGGTGACCTTCCTCTGGGCTGCAGCTTTCCTCAAAGAGCAGCTGTGCAATTTGGCTTTAGGAACTAATAACCTGAGTTAGAGCTACCTTTGCATTTTAAATGTAGTGATATTAATTTGTAAGTTCAGCACATGATCACCCAGAGATTGCTTTCCTCCGTGGAAAAGACTAGAACCTTGGTGATCATTCTCCTTGCCGTCGTTCAGGCTGGTGTACTCAGAGAACTGGGGCCGGGCTGAGAATGGTGACAGGGAGGGTCAGGGAGCAGTGGGTGAGGGAAACTCATGTCCTCGAATGGCTCTGTCTCGGAGCTGGGACTCCAGAAGCAGTTCTGGGGACCGTTCGCCGGTCCTTCCGCGTCTTCTGTGCTTTACACATGTCCCGCAGAGGAAGTCCTCAGGATTTGAGCACCTGTTTCCTTGTTTGCGAAGCATGGTCCATGTGCAGCTGTAGTGTCCTGAGTCACACCAGGGTGAAGAAGCTTGGTTCCTGTGGCTCATCTGAGGGCCTGGGGCGAGGTGGCAGGGATGGTGACAGATGCACAGTAAGGAGCATACAAGAGTGCAGACAATCTGTTGGATAAATATTCCTAACCTGTGGCAGATGAGCTAGTGACTTCAGGGCTGTCCCAGCGCCTGTCCCCCCTCGGCCTGAGCTGCGGTGGAGGGAAGAGGGGCTGGCCGCTGGCAGAGGAGACCGGCCCCTCTCCACCGGCCGGGGCTCCCAGGGCGGCCACAACTCTGAAGCTGGTCAGTCTGCTTGGACCTTTTCTTGGTAAACTAAGCACGTTTTACAGAGATGGTTAAAGCAGCGACAGCCGCAGGGGTGGTTTTCCTTTCCTGTGCACACGGGCCCCCGGCAACACGCCCTAGAGACAGAGCGCCTCGCACAGTCCGTGGCGACACGCCCTGGGAGGGGCTCATGTTACCGCTGTTACCCAGGCAGCTGCTTCCAGAAACCATTCTCACGTAACAGATGGCAAGACTGGGTTCACTTTGTGACAGTCTGTCCGGTGTCTCAGTTTCAGTAAAACTTTTTGAAAAAGTGGAAAGCAGGCTTTCGAAATGCTTTGAAGAATTCTGTAGTGACGTGAAGTGGGAGAGAAGGACGTAGTGTCTGGATAGAAACCAGATCTGGCCAGATGCGCGCCCTGGTGACGTGCTTGCCACAGCACCAGGAAGACCCACGACTCACCAGGGTTTCTCCAAATTCACATGTTTGAACGAAGGGCCGAGCAGGGAAGAACCCCCATTTCCCTCCCCTGCGTGGGCCTCCGGGGGCCGAGGGCTTTTTCTGGCCGCCGCCTCTTCTTGCGGGCTCTGAGTGTTGATGGTGAATAAAAGTGCACCCTGGTAAAAGGCCGTTTTAGGTGATTTGATGAAATTTATTACTGAATTATTTTAGTAATTTCTAAAAGGTTTTTGATGTGTTAAAGGTTAGTATTTTGTTTTGTTGGTTTGAAATAAGGAACGTCTCCGAGTTCTTTCCGTAATCTCCCGGTAACCGGAGGGCCCGCACACGGCTGCGGGAGGGTCCTGTGGGCTCCCGGCCCTGTTCCCGTTCTCCACGCTGTGTTTAGGTCTCTGCTGTGCCCTCCCTTCTCTCTTGCCCACATTTCTAGAACCAAGAGGGACACACTAGCATCCCCACTTGATGTATCCCCCCATGGCCACCAGGAGGCGCTAAAACCCCGCGGTTTGTACTCCAAGTTTCTGATCACAGTGGCTGCCAGAGGCTGGAACCCAGGCTGTGGGAGGAGGCAGGAACCCGCGGAGCACGGGGGAGCCGCTGGCATCGCCCAGGGACTCCGTGAAGGACGCACCACATTCTGGGGGGGGGGAGGTTGCCTGAGGAAAGACATAGAAGGAGCATGATGTTTTGAAGTGCAAAAGCATTTCCGATGTGCTCATGAGCTAGGAGTGGAGTGATACTGATCAGGACGAGGAGAGGGGAAAGGATTTATCACAAATTATAAAGATTCTATTAAAAGAACAGCCTGGGGCACCTGGGTGGCTCAGTCAGTTGAGTGTTCGGCTTCGGCTCAGGTCTCGATCTCAACGGTTTGTGGGTTCGAGTCCCACGTTGGGCTCTGTGCAGACAGCTCGGAGCCTGGAGCCTGCTTCAGGTTCTGTGTCTCTCTTTCTCTGCCCTTGCCCTGCTCATGCGCTGTCTCTGTCTCTCAAAAATAAACAAACTTAAAAATAAAAATAAAAGAACAGCCTAGAACTATGCATCTTAGGTGACAAAGGGTAGTGATAAGCCGTATTATGTACCTTCCGTATAATTCTGGTACATTTCATTACTATATCAGAAGTCCAGCAATAAGAGAAGGAAAAGGACGGGGCGCCTGGGTGGCTCAGTCGGTTAAGCGTCCGACTTCGGCTCAGATCATGATCTCACGGTTCGTGGGTTCGAGCCCCGCGTCTGGCTCTGTGCTGACAGCTCAGAGCCTGGAGCCTGTTTCAGATTCTGTGTCTCCCTCTCTCTCTGACCCTTCCCTGCTCACACTGTCTATGTCTCTCTCTCTCACACACAAATAAATAAAACATTAAAAAAATTTAAAAAAAAGAAGGAAAAGGAATGCCAATGAATCAGTGTAGTAATTTGAAAAAGTTCATTGTGCACAGGCCAAAAAGACAGTTTGGGACCCAGGAGCACAGAAACCAAACCCGGAAGGAGGTTTAGGAATATACTGTTACAAACCAGGTTGTATAATGACAAGGCGGGGACTGCTTATTCTTCACAGTGATTAGGTATACTGTTAGGATTGTTTTTTTTTTGGTAGGGAATTTCTTTCTGGTTACTTCATACCAACTTTGGAAAACAGTTTTAGTTTTGTTTTTTGATTTCCAGAGGCATAAAAAAGAAGTCACTCAGTCCGAATCTATCTTACAAATTAAGCTAAATGATGTTTTGCTTTTTCCACTAAACTGGATTTGTCTGCTCAGGGACTTTTTCAGGCTGCCTCCATTTGTTTTGACTTTAACAGGCTTTAATACTGTCATCATTGTTACAATAAACAAAAGAATGAAAAATTAGTGAACGAAGAAGCCTTCACATCCACTGTGCACCCTCATGGCCACTAGGTGGTGCTGTAACCCCGTGGTTTGCTCCCCAAATTGCTGACGGATCAGAACTGCCATCAGACGCTGGTATCTGAAGGTCTGGGAGGAACCCGGACCCCACAATAAAACAGGGGCTGCCGGCCCTTCACAAGGACTCCGCGAAGGAGTCGCCATGTTCTTGGAAGAGGAGATTGAGCGAGGAAAGGCACAGAAGGAGCATGATTCTTTGGAGTGGAATAGCATTTCCATGGGTTCATGGGCTAGAGGGAGGGGGGAGCATTTAAGTATATTACATTGCAGAGATTCTATAAAGATAACCTATAAAGTTCATGGTAGCAGGTGGTAAAGTGATACAAAACACGTTAGACACCTTTAAGATTATAGTATGTTAATTTATGAATATGTTAATAGTGTATTGATAACAGAAGTAAACCCAGAAGTAAACAGAAGTAAACCCAGTAAATCACTGAATAGTACTCCGTAAAAACTGATTGTGCACACGCTAAACACATGACCCAAGGAGACTCAAGCCCCATATGGGATGAAGCTCGGGACTGTATGGTTATAAATCAGCTTGTATATGGGGAAGGCAGTGACAGTTTATACTTCACAGTGATTGGTAATATTATCATTCTCTAATCAAAAGGAATTGGATCCAGGTTAGCTTGGGAACCAGTTTAACCTTGGGAAACAGTTCAAGTTTTGATGGTGATTTACAGAGGCATACACAAAATATGGCATAGAACCGCAGAGTTTCAGAAAATACCCAAAATTAAGATGCTTGTTTCACTAAGTTTGTTTTCCCTGCTCAGAGAATTTTCAAAACTGGCCTCCAGCTCTTGTGGATTGTAACAGACTTCAATAGAACTGCCATTATTACCGTTATGAGAACACACAAGCTGCACACCAGCTCCACCTTCACCACCACCAGGCGGCGCTGGGTCTCTGTGCTGGGGTTTTGGCTCGCAGAAGCTGATCACAGCAGCTGCCAAAGCGCTGGGGCCTGCGGCTCTGGGAGGAACCGGGAGCCCCAGAGCACGGGGGGCGGGGGGCTGCCGGCCCCGCGCAGGGACTCCGTGAAGGAGGCACCGCGTCTGCAGAGGAGAGACGGCCTGAGTAAAGACAGCGAAGAGGCACAGTTCTTGGAGGGCAGCAGCGTTTTCCATCGGCTTGGGGCCCGTGGTAGGGGCCCTCAGTATGGGGGCAGGGAGGGGAGGGGAAAGGATTGAAAAAGCTCCGTAAAGTTTTCTGCCTGAGTCCATTCGTTTCACTTGTGACGAAGATGGGAGAGGAGTGAAAAGACCCATATCGTGGACCTTCACTATCACAATCTATAAAATAATATAAACTAAGTAGTCAGCAATAACAGAAGAAAACGAGCCACTGAGCGATGACTAGCGTGAGGTTCTTGTTCACACACCAAGAGCTTTTTTTTCTTTTAAAGTTTTATTTATTTTAAAGAGAGAGCACGTGCATGCACACCAGTGGGGAGCGGGACAGAGAGAGTGAGAGAAAGTCTCAAGCAGTTCTGCGCCGTCAGCATAGAGCCCAAGGCGGGGTTCAAACCCACGAACCCAGAGATCCTGCCTGAGGGGAAATCAAGAGTCAGAGGCTTAACCAGCTGAGCGACCCAGGCAATCCACCAAAAAGGCATTTTTGACCAAGAAGCTCTCTCCTTAAATCTGGGGGGAGCCACACATGGATATAATTGTGAAGCCTTTTATATAGTGGGAGACAGTAGTGCTGTTTATTTCTCTCAGTGTTGCTTACACTAGTCACATATTTATAAGCGACAGGGAATTGGTTTCGGCTTCCTCACATCAACGTGGGAAACAGTTAATATTTGGGTAATGATTTCGCGAGAAATAAAGAAATGAAGTGGTTTCGTGTTACAAATAAGCTAACTCAAGAGTTCTCTGCTTGACTAACGTGGTGCTGTCTTCTCAGGGACTTTTCAGGGCTGCTCCCCATTTTCTTTTTGAGTTTTAAGAGGCTTTACTAATACCGTGATCATTTTCAATATTAGGAAGACCCCAGCAGCATCCCCACCTGTTGCATACGCGGTGGCCAGCAGGGGGGCGCCAAAGCCCTTGGGTTTGAGCTGCAGGGAGCTGCCAGTGTGGCTGAGGGGCCGAGGCCCTGGGAGGAACTGGGGCCCCAGGCCCCAGGCCAGGGAGGAACCGCTGGCCCCGCCCAGGGACTCAGTGAAGGCGGCACCACATTGTGGGGAGTCGAGTTTGAGAGACGAAAGGCAGAGAATGGTCCTGACCCTTTGGAGTTTCCTAGAATATTCTGTGATTTTGTGGCTAACGGTAGGGATTAAAAATCAGCACAAGCAAGAGGACGGAGAAAGGGTTTATCATACATTGTAAACATTCCAACTAATCCAGTCCATAAAAGTGCATTCAGCTGGCGGCAAATGAGAGTTTTTAAGAAAAAAAAAGGTCATGGATGTAAAATACATACTATATGAAAACAACACATAAATATGTCACAAGTGCAACCATAATAGGCGTCAAGCCGGTGACTCACTCCATACTGATTCTTCACAGTTGCTTTTGCGCACGTAAGAAAGGCAGGTGTTTACCCTGCGGGATTGCACGGGAGCCCTGATGGGCCGCAGGTGTGCGCTGTTCACGGCGCTTCTGTCCTGGGGAGCAGTGGCTGCGGATCCCTCAGCGGGCTGGCTCCATGCGAGCACGTGGATTAGTGGTGGGGAACTGCCAGTTGGGTGTTGGTAACCAAGAACTGATGGTTACGAGGGGTGCCGCTGTCCATCAGAGGAGAAGCTCCTGCGCTGCACCCTGAGGCCGGCAGGGGGCGCGCCGACCCGCCGCCTCTGGGCCGCGTGGAACGCATGCGCGTCGCGCACCTTGCCGGTGTAGGGATTCGGGACCGTTTCGCGCGGTGTGGGCGACCCCGGTGCGGTTCGGGGTGCGCAGGTGCCGGGTGGGAAGGAGGCCCCGCAGCCCCGGGACCGCAGGCGGTGGGCGCAGGGGGCCAGGTGCGCGCGTCTGCGAACGTTCGAGCCCCTCGTGTGTCGTGCTGCGTTAAATCACAGGCAAGTGACGCGGGAGGTTGCAAAGTAGCTGCATTAAAACTGATACCATTATTTTAAGTGTAAATAATTGCTTCAGTCTGTACTGAGATGAAGGCTGTAGCTGAATGATTTGCTTAATCAGAGGGAAAAGCCCTTGTTAAGGAAAGGAGCCTTGATGACTTGCATCTTGATGGGCATCCAAGGTAAACAAGGTCTGGCTTTTATTTTATTAAATACGGAAGGTTATCCGCTTAGTAAAAAGGCAGTAAGTGTGTTCCCTTCTGGAGAGAGGGAAGGAGGCTCCGATTTGCTCTTTGGGTTCTTCTGAGTAGTTGAGAAAATTTTCCTCAGGTGGATGCAGCTTCTTTTACTTTGTCAAGGAATTTGAAATCTGTGAATTGTATATTCTGACTGTAAGGCAAATATAAGTTAAATCCTTAGATGCCAAATATAACGAAATAGATACAAAGTTGCGTGCAGAAAACTGAAACACCGTGGAAGGATGTAAAAGAGAGTCTGTTTTAAATTGTTATTTATTTATTCTGAGAGAGAAACAGAGAGCACGGGCAGGGGAGGGGCAGAGAGAGGGATTGGAGAATCCCTAGCAGGCTCACGCTGTCAGCACCAGGGCCTGAGCCAAAATCCAGAGTTAAAGGCTTAATTGACTGAGCCACCCAGGTGCCCCTCACAGAGGGTCTTCATAAATCATGTTCATGATTGGCAGATTCAGTATTGTTCAGATGACACATCGCGTAAGTTTATCAGCAGATTCAGTGTCATCTGAGTCAAAATCCCAGCAAGGTTCTTTTGTAGATTTCTAAAATTGTTTCTAAAGTTAGAATAACCTCAACACTCATGAAGGAAAAGTCGAAGAGTCCTCACTCCCTTCAGCTAGTTCCAGAAATTAACCCAAAGGTACATCATGATTAGAGAACGACGCTGGCGATAGAATAGACCCATAGATAAATGGAGCAGAACTGAGGGCCTGAAGAACAGGCCCATTCACGTAGAGTCACCTGACCCCTGCAGGTTAGTGGGGGATATTCCTGTGAGGAACAACTGCAGCCACCGTTCGACCACGTGGGAAAAGGAACAAATTCCACCACACACCATAACTTACATAAACTTAAAAGTAAAATGCAAACTTAAAAAATGCTAGAAAAAGAAAATATCTACTTGGGTATAGAAGTAGCTTTTTGTATACAACACCAAAAGTATGGTGCATGGAAGAGAAACCTCGATAATGGGGAGTTCCGTCAAAATTAAAATGTTACTCTGCAGAGGATCCTGTTAAGAGAATGAAAGACTTTGCAGACAAGGAGATCTTTGCATAACACATAGCAGAGAAAAAGGATTTGTATGGAAAATATGGTAAAGACTCATAAGAAAGTTAAAAAAAAGGTAAAAATACGTAGAGATCTGAAGAGTGACACCAATACAGAACTTAGATAGCAAATTAATAGAAACATTGTCAACATGACTCACTTTTAGGGAAAAGCAAGTTACATGAGTTACCACTTACTACTGCACATTAAGATAACGTTAACATTTAGAAAAATTCAGAAAACATTTTGCTGACTAGCCTGAGGAACCACGAGGACCTCTAGTGGGAAAGAATTAAGACACATACTTTAGAAGACAGTCTGGTGGGTTTCTCACAATGCAAACATAGTCTCATTGTCTCATCATAATTTAATTGTACTTCTAGATGTTCACCCACCCGGTTGTGCCCATGAGGAGCCTGAAATTAAGTCCTCCATTGGAAACAACCTCAGGCTGCACGTAGTCCCAGTTCCAGGAAAAGCCTCAGCTGAAGCCACCCTCGGACCGCCCTCGGATCTGCCAATCAAAAGAAATGGGTAACATTCCTGTGGTCTTGGAGAGAGTCAGGGCTGGGAACTGCAGGTAGTTACTTTGTACAAATTTGCCAATCAATCACCGCTTGCAGAAGCCCCACGTAGATTCTCTGAGCCCACCTCATAATTGGTCATTTTTTTTTTTTTAAATGTTTTATTTATTTCTAGGAGAGAGAGAGACAGCGTGAGCAGGGGAGGGTCAGAGAGAGAGGGAGTGACAGACTCTGAAACAGCGTCCAGGCTCTGAGCTGGCAGTCAGCACAGAGCCTGACGCGGGGCTCGAACCCACGAACCGCGAGATCATGACCTAAGCGAAAGTCGGACGCTTAACCGACTCAGCCACCCAGGCGCCCCCATAATTGGTCATTTTAAAAGACTCTCAAAGGTCATGATTGGGTCCCGCCAAACGCCAAACTTAACGGACACCTCGCAGATACTGAATGGTCAAAACTGTTTCTATGTTATTACTATGCGTATTGTACAATTATGATTGGTGCTTATGTAATGATGCAAAACGTACGATGTGCGCACAGTAACGCCCCCGTCCTTCCCCCATAAAAACCCTGCTCGCCACTGTTCGGGGCTCCACCTTGGTGCCGCTGCGCCGGGAGACGGGTGAGCCCCTGCTCGAGCTTGTGATAAAGACCCTTTTGTTCTTGCATGGGTGCTGGCTCCTTGGAGGTCTCAGGGGACTCGCGATTCGGGCATAACACCCACACCAAAACAGCACACTAATATTTATAGCAGCTCTATCATGATGGCCCCACACTGGAAGGAGCTAACATGTCCTTCAGTGGGTGAATATATAACCAAAACTTAACAGCTGTGAAATGAAAAACACTCAAGTATGAAGCCACCTGAAGACCTGGGTGAAGGTTACATGCATATTTCTCAGTAGCAGAAGCCAGTCTTAAAATGATACATAATGTATTCTCTGTTTATGTATGATCTCAGGGAAGAGGCAGAACTATAGACATTCTAAATAGATAAGTAGTTTCCGGGGATATGTGAAAGGAGAAGACTGAGTAAGTGAAACATTCTATATGGCACTTTAATGGTGGTCACCTCCCACTGTGCCTTTGTCAAATCCCTTACAATCTCACAGCAAAAATAGTAAAACTTAATGAGTTTAAATTTGAAAATAATCCTTTGGGAACTAGATTAATCTCATGGTGAAATAAGAATGTTACAGAATAATTTTTTTAATGTTTTATTTATTTCTGAGAGAGAGAGAGACAACATGAGCAGGGGAGGGTCAGCGAGAGAGGGAGTCACAGACTGAAACAGGCTCCAGGCTCTGGAGCCAGCTGTGTAGGGTCTCTTAACACAAGGTGGTTGGGGTCTACAGACGGTAGTAAAATGAAGGGCGAACCCTTGAGGAAAAATTGTTGGTGATTCAGAATTTGTTTGGATACAACAAATGCCATCCCTCTACATATTTACCTAATTTTAGTAAGAGTTTTTAGAGAGTATAGGTAAGTCAGAGTCTCTAGATGCCAAGACAAGCAGAGCTGGACTAGGAAAACAAAAATTGCAAAATGAAGTTGGAGAATGAGCTACCGATAGTTCAGATAATTGGGGGAAGGCTTAATGAGGGAACAAAAGCCTGCGGGCTCTCACGTCCGCACCCACCAGGCCACGCTCCCAGCTTCGTGGCAGCCGTGCGTGGCCCCCATTCCCGCCGCAGCTTTCGCGTCCCGGTGACGCAAACGTTGCTCTCGGAGATTGTAGTTGTGTGTTCTGACCCCCGGGGGGGCTCCGAAGGGGACGGACTCGGGCCCCCCTTTCCTGGCGGCCCTGGAACTCTCAGGGGCTGGAGGGCCCACAACAAGTGTGCGGAAAGCTGTAAGCTTAATTCTGCCAAAGAACTGATGAGTCACAGGAAGGTTCAGGAGCCAAATCTCACTGGCTGTGACCGTGGAAATTCAAACCCGTGAGGTTTGGCTCCAGGGTCTGAATTTCTAATCACTAATTTGCCCCCTTCAACCCTGGTTCACGCCTCCATGTGTCCCTGCCTGGTCACAGACCCTGGTCGCCAGGCAGGGCGTTGGCGATCAAGTGCTCACTGCCCTCACACGACTCACCCTGGCTGCAGGGTACAATCACTCGTGGATAATTTATTTTAAATGATCTAGGGGCGCCTGGGTGGCTCAGTTGGTTGGGCGTCCGACTCAGGCTCAGGTCACGCTCTCACAGTTCGTGAGTTCGAGCCCATGTCAGGCTCTGTGCTGACAGCTTGGAGCCTGGAGCCTGCTTTGGATTCTGTTTCCCATTGTCTCTGCTCCTCCCCCACTCATGCTGTCTCTCAAAAATAGATAAACATTAAAAAAAAAATTTTTTTTTAAATGATCTAGCAGTTCCAGCCAGAGAGGTGCTCACTTATGGTCCCAGGGGAGTATTTTGGGATCGTGGCAGCTCGGGAGGAGAGCAGAAGGGCCAGGCTGTCCCTGGAGAGCGTCTCCCCTTGAGCTTAGGTGCCGTATTGGGTTTGGTGAGGGCGGTGCACTTGCAGGCCGTGGGGCCGACGCTGGGGAGCCTGCCGCTGTGAGACGCGATGTGGTCCGGAGAAGAGCGCGTCACGGAGCTGACAGGGGCTGCCGTGGTGTCTGACAGGTTAGGGGACTTTCCGGACCAGCTTCGGTCGCAGGACTGCTGGGCGCGCTCGGCAGCGGCCCTGTCTGGGGCTCGGGGAGGCGCCTCGCTCCGGGCTGAGTCCCCGCGAGGAGTGCTCTTGGGATGGACGCCTGCCCACAGGAGCTTCCTGGCCACCTCCAGGGGCCGTGCTGGGTCTGGGACGACCACTGACCGCCGCGGGTTTGCCGGCCCCATGCGGTTCCCGGGGGTGCGGGCGGGGTGCAGACACGCCCGCGGCTTACACTAGCGTAGTGGGCTACGGCCCGGGTCCTCCAGGCCCCCGGCACGGCACAGCGAGTAACCTGTCGGCGAGGTGGGGGTTGGGGGACCCCGCTGTGCCTCCAGGGCGATGGGAGCCTGGAATGAGGAGCTCATGGGTGTGGACAGGGGGTCCCAGCGCCCTGCCGAGCCTCTCACCCACACACCAGGGGGCGCGGCTCAGGCCTGTTCACACCTGCACGGAGAAAACTAGCACTTCAACACAGGATTTTTCAGCAACAGGGTTTATTGTTTAAATATTTACAAGTAATAATCTATGGAAAAAATTTCATTTCCTACAAAGTTCTGCGTTCAATATTCCTGGATCACTTTACTATTTTGCACTGAGATGCCACATTTCCCCTGTGACTAATGATTTTCTCAAAGTCCTGAAATATTTGCTAAATTCTGTTATAAAAGGCTCTTGCGGAGGTTTTTCACCCAGGACTTGGCTTTCTGACGTGAAGCGTAGCTGGTTATCTCCACGTGGACTGCACGGCTGAGGACCGCTGTCCCCTCAGGGTAAGAACGTTAACGCCGGCTAAACCAGCGATCACCGGACGCTCTGGTGTGGGTGGCGCTGTTGGGGACAGGCTGAGCCCTCACGCGGGCCAGTGCCGCTCGCTGCACGAGCGGGTTCTCGAGGTCGTTCCTGCAGGGGCTGCGTGACTCCGGAGCATGCGCCTCTTCCTCGGTGGGGCGGTGGTCACCCGACGTCACGGCACCGCCCCGAGCGCACGGGCCTGGCCGGCTCCTGTCCCCCGAGTGCTGGCGCCGCTGCTGAAGCCCTGTCCACGTTGTCCGCGGTCAGACACTGACGGGAGGGTTTGCCGCGCGGATGTCACACAGGGACCTCTTCCACAGGAGTCTAAGTCGGGGGGAGGAATGCACAGCGTGCAGGCCGGCTGGTGCGGCTAACTGCGAACAGCTGCGGTGGGAATCCGGCCCACACTCGTCACTCTACGGGGCCATGCGGGTCATCTAAGGTCAGAATCCGTACTGGAGGCGGTCACCATTCTCTCCCCGCTGTGGGTCCCCTCGTGCCGTCTGAGCGCGGAACACTGGCTGAAGGCCTTCCCGCAGAGGTGGCACTCGTACGGCCTCTCGCCCGTGTGCGTCCTCTCGTGCCGTCTGAGGGCCGAGCATTTACTGAAGGCTTTCCCGCACAGGTGACACGCGTAGGGCTGCTCCCCGGTGTGCGTCCTCTCGTGCTGTCGGAGGTTGGAGGACTGGCTGAAGGCCTTCCCGCACAGGTGGCACTCGTACGGCTTCTCCCCGGTGTGCGTCAGGTTGTGTTTTCTGAGGTCCGAGCTTTGAATGAAGGCGTTCCCGCAGATGTGGCATTCGTAGGGCTTCTCTCCGGTGTGCGCCATCTCGTGCCTCCGGAGGCTGGAGCAGTTGCTGAAGGCTTTCCCGCACAGGCGGCACTCGCACGATCGGCCTCTAGTGAGAATCTGCTTATGTTGGTAAAGGTAGGACTGGTCACTAGCGGATTTCTGACCCTGTTTACTGACACAGGGTGTCTTTTCTGTGTGGGTTAACAAATGGGGAGTCGACCTGAAACTGCGAGTGAGATCGTCTTCCAAGTCATTACATTCAAGGGGACCCTCTGGAGCGTGCGGCTTCTGCTTTGGGGAAAGAGATGAAAGGTCGGTAAAGCTTTACTTCTATATCTGTACATTCACTTGTCTACACAGGAATACAAATCAGTGATGGTCTCCAAATCAGTATTGCTTGCACACACGCGGTGTGTTACTCCGCTGCGTAAAGATTTTCCCTTTTGTAGCATTCCAGCTGCAGAGCTGAGACACTGATTTTGAAGACCTTAACCCGTTTCAAAGACCAGGCATATAATCAATGTTTATGCACTTGTCTTTCAAGATCTCAGGTTATGGATTTGAGCTCAGATATCCAAAACCTTTTTTTAAAAAAAAGCTTAATCCCAGTTTAATGTGCATTAGGCTATTGTGCTCGCTTACTAACATCCTACTCCAGGTCTTTGCGTCACCAGCGCTCCTACCCAGGGACCTTACCTCTGGCATGACTGTGTGTGTGTCCTTCCTGCTGATGTGATGTGTGGCTCTCAGGTCTTGTTGTTTAAGGGCACTTTCCCTGCCTAAAACAATTGAAAAAAACCCCAAATATTTAGAATGGCATTAGGGGAATGAAAATATTGTAAAGCACCAAGACTCATGGGAAGATGTTTCAAAAATATGCACTTTGATGGGGCCAGTAGGTCAAATGAAGGAATACCCTAGGGATACTAATTGGGTAATTGGCAAGTAAAGATTTTAGAATTGAATTATAAAAAAATTATAATGGAGAGAAGTTGGGTAGGTAGGTAGCGTGAGTTACTGTACGAAAGTTAACTTCAGTAACTACATGAATATGCTCTCCCTAAAGCCAAAAAAGAGGCAAGAAACATGTACTGGGATGGACACGTGCAAGGAATGACGAGAACTGAAGAACTGTGCCCCAGTGTCCTTCATCTGCGTGGAAGGAAATCCCCCCGTGAAGCCCAGGTCACTGCCGCTCACCTGGGCCCCGGCCTTGCAGACATCCACCGCCTTCGTCCCACAGCTCTGCTCCGCGCTCCAGCTGGAAAATCACATCTGACTGGCAATGCTGATACCCTGCTCATTGAAAAAAGGTACATGGATTTTGAATTCTGGGCTGATCAAAGTCCTCTCCTTCCCCAAAGCTAGTACTTATCATCAAGTCCAGGACAGGCTACTGAAGGAGAACACTGAAGTTCCCCCCAGGCAACAACGGGAATAGGAAAAAAACACTGAAATCCAGCAGCAGTGAAGACCTCTGGATGCTGATGCCCAAGTTCAAAGAATGCAGAATACTTAGCCTGCATTATACATTAAATATCTCTACAGTGGGTAGAATGTTATTTAAAAAATTTTTTTAAATGAGAGAGCCCATGTGAGCAGGGGGCGGGGGCAGAGAGAAAGGGAGTCACAGAATCCAAAGCAGGCTCTGAGCTGTCAGCACAGAGACCGACACGGGGCTGGAACTCACAAACCATTAGATGGTGATCTGAGCCGAAGTCGGACTCCTAACCGACTGAGCCACCCAAGCACCCCCGAATATTACTTTTAAACAGACACATAAACCTAAGCTCTACAAGAATAACCAAGTTCTACTGTTTTCATTAGTGTACTTTCAACTCTTGCCATAGTGACTAGAGCAGAATAATTATTTAGAAAATGTTTAATCAGCTTATTTATGCCTTCAGAAATACTGCATTCCCTGTTTTGCTCTTCGTGTGGGAGACTGAGTAGCAACAAAGACCTTAAATTGGGTTTAAGATTACATTCTAGTGGGGTGACAAAGTAGATGGAGCAAAGTATCAAGAAAGAACTTTCTTTCAAGTAAGGTCTATGAAAGATTCAGGGACGACTGTGGAATGAGTATGTAGAAGCTGTTGCAGATACCTGCGGACGGAGGGACTCACTTCCTCCCTGCCCATCTGTCTGTATGCGTGCGTGCACACACACATACACACTGGCAGACTCACCCAGGGAGACCAGATGACGTATGTTCTCCAGCATCACGTCCCTGAACAGCTTCCGCTGCGACATGTCCAGCAGGGCCCACTCATCCTGCGTGAAGTCTACAGCTACATCTTCAAAGGTCACGGATTCCTAAAACATCATGGATATTCGGTTTCAGACAGAGCACTCCCTACAGATGTCCCGAGTGGGAGGGTTGAGATGACAGCACTGGGGGTGGGGGGGTGGGGGAGCTGGGTGTGTAGAAAGATCAAACTGAATTTGGGGTTCCCGCCAGCCCGTTCTCAGCACTGAATTGGCATCTGCCTTTCAGATACATCACAGAGATACATACAGTCTGAAGTACTAACACTTTAGTATAAGGAGGCATCACATGAAATATATTTTATAATCTGGAATTTTTAAAAACACAAGACTTGTAATTATAGGGGCTCCTGGCTGGCTCAGTCAGAACAGTATGTGACTCTTGACCTCTGGGTTGTGAGTTCAAGCCCTATATTGGGTGTGAAGCCTACTTACAAAAGTAAATACATAAAAACTGGTAATGAAGACTTCAGATATGTGATTATAAAACTGGCACTTGAAAATTAACTGAAACTCACTTTCTGATTAATTTCAAGTAACTCTACAGACTCGCCGCAAGGCAAACAATAACCATGACTCGTGCCTTTGAAGCCATGACACTATTCCCATAGATGAACCTTTGATAACCTGTTACGAGTATTGCAGGACCCGATAAACTAATGCATGAAGCTTGTCCTCTCTAAGGAAACATGTATTAAATACAAGCCATTTGCCGACTACTCCTTAAATCGTCCAAGAACCTCAAAACCCAGTTCCATACAGAACGTGGTAAAAGGGGTCTCCTCCTCTCTACAGGATGCAGATGTTCATGAAGTACAAGGTCACAGGGCTCAGCAGCAAGGCTGGGGCCCCCTGAGGCGTCTGTGCCAGAGGATAGACATGGCCTGAGCGGTCCCGTGCTACGGGGACTCCCAACCCCGGTTCTCTCCGGGGCCTGACACCAGTCACCACAGCCTCCCGTCCCGTCCTTCTGCTGAAGGAGAACAGAAGCCTTGTGACTGGTATTGGCTTGTGCGGTCCTTACAGTCTCTGCGGGGTCTTACGCGGTGCCCACTCCTTCCCCTCCATATGCAGCCACAGCTGGGAAAATACTGCTCCCTGTACACTAACTGTAGTTACCCAGTAGTTTTTAAAAGGTTAAGTAACTAAAGGCAAAATATGTGACTGGAGGCAAGAAAAGTTGGTTCTCTTTTTAAGAAGTTTCCCAAAGTACAAATATATTCTATCAAAACTTTAAAATTGGACAAAATGAGTGATTCTTCATGCCTTTTCTGGCCTCCACTTTCTCATGCTCCTTTCACCCCCTGAGGGCCCCAACCAGGACCGGGACTCTGGGCTGTCACAAGCCCCTCCTACTGGACTGCAGTGTCCTCCCCTCGCTCAGCTCTTCATACAGCCCTTTATAAGGGACGATTAGCGCCAACAGCATGATTAGTGAGTGAATTACTTCCCAGGAAGGATGCGGACTAAACTAGAGGAAGAAAACTTCTTTCTTCTTTTCTGTAAACACACAAGCTTAATGGAGGCTGGAATAAACTAGGGATCCTAGAAAGGTTATTAGTTACTGAGAGTTCCTGGCCCTTAGACCATCCCAGAGTGCTGGGAAATTTCACTGGAGCTCAAATCCCTGACCACCCCCTGACTGCACCTGGACTATCCAGGCCACAGACGGCGCGAGGGTATAAGCCGGAAGAGGCGGTCCCCACTCACCAGTGGCTGCATGGCCAATAACCCAGCTGCAGGGGTCCTCCTCTGGGTCCCCGCTCACAGACAGCCCAAGCACTAAGCAGGCAAAGCTGAGGATGGAGAAAGAAGCCATGAGATCCAGTCCTGGGCACAACATCCAGTCTCACCTGTCACGAAGCCCCAAGCCTTCACCTGGATGTGGCCCCCACCCCAGCCCCACCAACGTGCAGTGCGTGTTCTAAGAAATGCAGAGGACTCGCCTCCTCTCCCGTGGTCTAAAATTAAGAAGACTGACTACAGCTGATAAAAGAAAAAAAAAAGTATACAAATATAGATGTCTCATGATACAACACTCAAATACTGAGTGTGTATGCCAGTTGGCCCACAGCATCCAGAGTTCAATTCCCTACCTGACTCCAAAGCGTGGGGGTCCTGGACGCAGCCACACGTCCATTTTGGTTTCCACGTGGAGGTAAATACTGGACTTTCTCAGATCTCGTTATTCTCATACACAAGCAGTGGCTGTCCACGGCCACCTTCTGGAGCCACACCCCCTCCTGCTCTCCCTCCACTCTGACTTTTCCACCTGTCCCCCATGGGCGTGGAGGCCAAAACTAAGTTTGTTTTATGCTCGGATTACTCAATTCAAAGACTTAATTCCGTCTGGAGGGATTGGTGGTACTTATTCTGCTAGTCCTTAAAAATTCCCTGCATCAGAAAGGAAGGGAATAGGAATGCCAATGTCCCTGTCATGTATTGTCCCAATCCTCCAGGCCAAGGACGTTGAGTTAGCTCGGGAGGACTGGGGCTCAGGAGGAAATCTAGCTGCTCTACTTGATTATGTTAGTTATGTGGTAGCTCAAGTTCGTGAAATCCTCTTCTAGATAAATCCTCATTGGCCACACTACCCTGCGTTTCTTACTCCCCCCCCCCCACACGTACAGGTACATGCACATTTACAGATATGTACACAAATGTGTCTGAAAGATGGAGCAAGAAATCCATTTATAAACTGTAAATTCTCCTCTAAAATACCAATAATAATTAAATGTATTTCATGGGAAAATGACAGTGTCATAAGCAAAAATAGGATCAACTCACCCATTTGTACCTGAGGCCCCAAAAAAGGGGAAAAGAAATTTGTATCAAATGTGACTCTGCTTGGATATTTACATGTATTCATTTATTAATTAATCCTCACAATAAAACTGGTGATTTTAATTTATTTACAAATTTAACAAAAGATCTGATGAAATGAGGTTGAAAAAACTTTCTGCATCTTTTGTCTGGAATATCACATCACTTCTGACTTAATGAGGGGCCCTCCACTGTTACCTCTTCTTTTTACTTTTCACAGAAATACACCCCATACTCCGGTCTCCGTACGCGGGAACCACCAGCAGCTGACTTCTGTGTGCCTGCCTTTTCTGTGGCTCTATGTGACACACGTGGGAAAGGAGCTGATCCCTGTCTGAAACAGAACCACGATTCCTAGGGGTTCCCAAATGTGTCTGGGAGCCCTACTTTGGGGATGTACCTCGTTCTTCAGGCTCCAGCAGCATTTCAAATCTCCACGCCTTCTGAATCTACACATTCTCACCTTCCGAAAGACAAGACTCTTCCCTCCTGCACATACTTGTTAGTTTGCTCAGGCTGCTGTAACAGCACCACTAACCGAGGGGCTCAGACCACACGAGTGTGTCTCCTCACGGGTCCGGCGGCCGCATGGAAGATCAAGGCCTCCCTACTCAGCGTGTCCATGGCAGTGCTCTGCACACACTGGGCCGCCACGCCCTCTTCTGACAACGACACGAAACTGACTTGGAGCCCACCCCAATGACCCCTTTCCCCCAGTTACCACTTTAAAGGCCCAATCTCCAAGTACATCCTCGGGTTGGGACTTCACATCTGACTTTGGGAACACAGAATTCAGCCTCTCATGGAGACAAATGACACAGAATGACGCCCTTGCCTCAGTTTTCCCCACAGTATCTACAAATGTGCTACACTCGTGCGCACTGGCAACTCTTTCCTCCTATCAAATGGAAGTCCTCTTACCTCTAAGTCCAATGTGTCCAACCGAATTCCTTTCTCCTGTTTTGCTCAGAACTGTGTTACTCTTTATAACTGAAATCTCCTGTCCCGAAAACAGGTCCATTTCTCCACAATGACCTACCTCATCATGTGCGCTCATTAGATCTCCTGGAACTTGAAACAAAAATCTCCTCTGAACTGATTTTCTCTCCAGCCCCCCTTCCACCCTCCCCGCAGAACCAAACGGGAAGTGCCCACACCCCTCACTCACGACGTCCCCTCCCTCCGACTTACAAAGACCACCAGTGATTATGTGGTAAATCCATGCTGTTAACATCACTAACTGTCTCTCATAAATAAATCCCTACGTGGCAACAAGGAGTTCGGCCCTGACCTCCTTTTCTGAACATCTTCCTGGCGTCACCGGACACTTTAAGTCTCCTCTCCAATCGGTCCTTCTCCCACGTCCTCGGCAAAGAATCCCTCAGTCCTGCTGGGCCGACAAGACTTCCCGTGAGCTCCTGTTCTCCTTTTAGATCATGTCCTGGCAGGTGCGTGCCCTTCTTCAGTTGCCCCAGCTCTTTTCCGGCGCGGTCTCTAAACTGAAAGGGACCAATTTCTTGTCTGGATTCCATTTCTGAACAATCACCTCTGCTTGCAAACTGACATACACCTAAAATGAACTATGTCCAATGATAAGGACTCCACTCCTCCAAATATCAAGTTTATTCCTCCTTTGTCAGAATCTCAGCTAGTGGCTCAATCTGAGGGTTGTTATTTTAAATGCCTTTACCCAACCAACAAACACACTGCTATTGTTTCTAAACTGGGCACTGCTGTTACCCTTCATTTCCACCTCCATCCACAAACTTCCTGCCCCTTATTCCTTCTACTCCAGTCTCAGTCTACATCTCAATTATACAGATACTTTCACTAAACTCCAACCAAAGCAAGCCTTTCCTTTGCCCTCTGCCCTGACTTACACAAACCACTAGATCATGACCTGAGCCGAAGCTGGACGCTCAACCGACTGAGCCACCCAGGCGCCCCAGGAGTCAGTCTTTAAGTCTGGAAAAAATTCTATCCAGTACTTCCCCAGATGGGAAAGCTAACAAAACCAGCTCTGTGAGGTGGCAGCCTCCCCACAAAGAACCTCAGAGTTTCTTTCTAGCTCTCGATAGATCACTCTTTTGCTAGTGATCTGTTTTTATAAGCAGTTGACAATGTCATCAGTAATGTAAACCAAAAGACACACACTAGTCAGTCTGGATGACAGTCAATATAAATCTAGGTGACGCATGCCTTTTTTCTAATTAGGTAAATCATACTACAGATGCAATTAAAGAAAAAAAAGATGATGCCTTTTTTGCTTCTAACAATACCTGTTAGCCTCATTTTAGGCTCACTGCAAACTGAGCCTAAAATACAGACAGTCCCATCTACCTCCTGTCCCCACCGTCAATGCAACACACTGGAGTGCACACTGGTCACAACTGGTGAAGCTACAGTGCTACATCACTATCACCCTAAGTCCTGACATTACACTAGTGTTCACTCCTGGTGCTGGAAATACTACTGGTTTTGGAAAATACGTAATGACATGTATCCACCATTACAGTATCGTCAGAGTATTTTTTACTGCCCTAAAAATCCAGTGCTCTCTCTGCTCGTGCCTGCCCACCACCCTAGTCCCTGGCCACCGATGACTGTCGCCACGGTTGTACCTTTTCCACAATGTCTTGGGTGGGGATCACACGATACATACTTTCCCGACTGGCTTCTTTTACTTAGTAACAGGCATTTACATGTCTTCCATTTTTATCTTGACTTTCTTTTTTTTTTTTTTTTTAAATTTTTATTTATTTCTAGGAGAGAGAGAGACAGTGTGAGCAAGGGAGGGTCAGAGAGAGAGAGGGAGATACAGAATCTGAAACAGGCTCCAGGCTCTGAGCTGGCAGTCAGCACAGAGCCCGACGCGGGGCTCGAACCCAGGAACCGCGAGATCATGACCTAAGCGAAAGTCGGACGCTTAACCGACTAAGCCACCCAGGCGCCCCTCATGTCTTCCATTTTTAGTGGATACACCTGTGAACCACTCCCCACAGCTGCCCGAGCCCGTGTTTTTACATTTGGTGTCTTCATGTGTACCCCTGTCTTTCCTGATTTTCTGGATAGACAGATCTTCTATAGACATAACAGTAAATAACAGTAACTGTTAACACAGAGGAAGCAGTGAAGAAACAAGCTACCTTGGGGCGCCTGGGTGTCCTGACTTCAGCTCAGGTCATGATCTCGTGGTCCAGGAGTTGGAGACCCGCGTTGGGCTCTGTGCTAACTCAGGGCCTGGAACCTGCTTCAGATTGTGTCTCCCCCTCTCTCTGGTCCTCCCTGGCTCTCACTCGATCTGTCTCTCTCTCAAAAATAAACATTAAAAAAAAAAAAACAAAAAACAAGCTACCTTATATTCTACACTAAAAGCGCTGAGAATTCCATGATGCGATCTTCTGAGCACAATTAAAAAAATAAACTAAGCCACAGTGCAACAGTGAAAAAGACAACAACCCAACGTGAGCACCAGGCTTATGGGGCTCCTAACACCAGTCACAATCTTCCTTTTGGGGTGGACACTGGGAGTCTGCATTTTTGACATGTACACCAGGGATCCTGATGTGGGAGCAGCACCCTGAAAAATGTGATACAGTGGCTAAAAAGCTAAAGACAGATTCTTCACATGGATTCAGGTCGCCATCAGACACGGCCAGACTCATCACTCGTTCATCCCTGGTTGAACTGAAATCATCTGCCTCATGGCCATTTGTCTCATTCACAGCCCATGTGCCAGCTGGCTTTACTGCCTCACCCGTGCACAGCCCTTTTTACCCGAACGTGCCTTCCATCCCCACTCGGCATTCCTGAACTTCCCTTCCCCCTTAAGGATCTGCTTATATATCACATCCCCTTGGGGGATGGGATCCCCTTCCCTGAACATTCAGTCTAGTGCTGGTGCCAAACCTCCCCATCTTCCCGGGAGGGCATTTAGGACACCTCCCTGCAGCTGCCAGCGTGACGGTCTCCTCAGAGCTGTGCGGGCTTAGGCCGACAAGGACACTGGCTTGGCGCCTTGCGGTGCCGAGTCCCCATAAGCTGTATGGGATGCGGAGGGATACAGTGAGGTACAAAGAGTAGCGAGAGAACAATTCACGGTATAAACGAAGCCTCCCGATTTAGATCTGTCCACACGGCGCCAAACCGCAGCGCTCTGGCGGCACGTTCTCGCCCACCCTTCCGCCGGAAGCAACACTTTGACGCTTCCAACGGAGGCACAACGGGTTGGAACTACTTTTTGCACTAATCCCGAGTGCTGAACGCTGAGGGCTGCGCTCCGGCGCGCAGGCTCAGGACCCCGGGCTCTTAACTCCCGGCGGAATTCCCGGCCTCTGCCCGGGTGGAAAGTCCTCCTTTGGGAATTGGTGGGTTTTTTCCTCCTCCAATTCAGCGGCTTGGTTTGCAAACTGACTTAAGTCTCAACCTCCACAAGAAATACCTGAAGGGCCCCGAGGTCTTCCCGGGACCCCCAGGGCTGTCCGAGGGCTGGTGTCCCAGTGGTCCTGGGCGGCGGGCAGGGGGGAGTATCTCACTTAGGGCTGACGAATTATCCACGTCAGCGGACGGTCCTGTCACACGACAGTATTACAGCCGGACACCCCCAGGCCCACAGCGTGTGCCTCTGCCTGGGGTGGATGAGGAGGCGGGTCGGCCCCGGGCAGCTGCCCAAGCAAAGGCCGCGTAGGCGGCCAATTCTCCTCGCGGTTTGATCGTGGAAATTCTTGGGCTTTGGTTTTAGATACAGAAAGATTTAAGGAAAAATTACACAGTGACTTTTTATCCAGAAAGCATTTTCAACAGACAAGCATATATAAATGCTTGACCATTCTCTAGAGAGCTCAATAAAAATACTACTTTCAAATTTGGTTTCGTAAAATTGTTTTAAAAAAAATGCATCAGCATTTATACTCTTGTGTCTGTTATTTCTATGAAAAGCAAATTTCCTTGATCAAATTAGGAAGATGTGAATTTTGTTCTTGCTATGATCTTATTTTCAATAAATAAAAACCACCGTGCCAATACTGCTGCTACAGTTATACCTCAGGAGGTCAAAAAGATCTACTGTATTCAGAAAATCAAGAAACTGCTGGAGGGAAGATGGTGGAGGAGTAGGGAGACCCCAAGCTCGCGAGCTCCCTGAACACGGCTAGAAAATATCAAATCACGGTGAACACCCAAGAAATCAATGGGATTTTCTGAGAACAAGCCTGCACATCTACACACCAGAGAAATGACCCATGGAAGGAAGGGACTGCACAGAGTTCGTGGGAGAAAAGAGCTGCAGGCGCTCCCCAGGGGAAGGAGTCCTGGTCTCAGCGGGGAAAGAGGACGGAGAGAAAAAGCGGGGGCGGGGGGGGGGGCATGCAGGGGGCTGCGCACGAAATTGCTCCCCAAACGTCTGACAGGGAAAAAGGACAGGGTTACAAGGGGGCCAGTTTTCTCTAACTAGGGGACACACGCTCCGAACTTCGGGGGTCTGGGACATCTCC